ATTGGTGTGAAGTTATAGAGGTTTTGGCATCTTGCCCTAGTTGGTCCTGCACAGGACAGACTTTAGCAAGGGGTTAGGAGGGGAGGTAGAAGAAGCCCAGATCTCCCCTTCTTTAATCCCACTACCACCCTACAATCCTTACCCATAGGCTATATCTCACGTTGTAAAGACCCCACTTAGTCTGAATCAAATTTTGGGTTGGGTAATACAGAATAGTTTCCAGTAGGTAGGGAGCCCCAGGTAAATTGGAACAAATGGGAATTGCGGAAAAACATAGGAAGAAGGGGGTTAAGTGATGAAGTACAAAGGAAAAAAAAATAGGATCCATGGCCATATGAATGAGAGGGGAATAGAAGTTAGAATTCTCTAAGCCTGTCCTTCCCAGGACAGACTGCTTCAGGTGCCCCCTCCCCAGAAACAATGGGTAAAATTCACTGAAAAGTCTTGATCATCACTGGAAACCAAGCACTAAAAATTCTCTCTATCATTTGGGGTCTGTTTTTTTTTTCCCATGGAGCCTCTCCAAATTGTGTTGAGGGTACCCTAAAGCTCCAGCAGAGTCTTCCTGTGGGCTGCTGCTGACACCTAGTGTCTAATCTCCGTATCTGCTTCGACAGTTGTAGGCTATAGGAGTTTGAGGAAGGAGACCTGGGTGTTCAAAATTCTGCATCATTCCCTTTCTGGGCTCAACTTGCTTGAGACACTTATTTCATTCTAAGCAAGAGACGCTATGGCCAGACCCTATGGAATGCATTTGGAAGTCTAGAGATAAAGTTGTGGGGTATAAGGTTTTGGAGGCCATGTGGACTGGGAACCAGACAACTGCTCCTGATTCTATTCTTACTTGCCGTGTGTCCTTAATTGCCTGTGTTTCCCACGTGTAAAACTGAGGTAGAACTGTCCTGTCGAGAAGATTAACTGAGCACATGGGTATGAAATACTTTGAAAACTGGCAAAAGGATAGGGAGAGATTAACAAGTCATAATGATAATAATAACAAGTCACAGCAGCATGGAGCCAAGGCCCTGGGGCTCACTGAAAGGGAAGAATGAAGTAAGCCTTGGGTAGGTAGCATCTCTCTCCCTGTATATAGAAATTCTTGGGCTGGGCCTGCTCTTGGGACTGCTTCAGGGAAGATGTGGAATGCTACAGAATGGTTCAGCCCAGTCCACGGAAGGGGAGAGTGAAGCCTGGAGAACTTGAAGTCTTATCCTAACTAAGCCACTGAGCTGCAGATCCAAGAACATGAGGCTGATTGGACTGGAGCCATTATGGCCCTGGTTTTCCCCTCCTTTGGATAGGAACAGCTCAGAGCTGGGGCCCAAGAGACCAAGAAAGCAGGAAGCCCCCCTCACTGTGGTACAGTGGAGACTAAGGCCCCCAGGCCCCCAACAGCCCTCCTCCTGGGCCTGTCCCTCTCCCCTCCCCTGTACAAGTCCTCCCACATTCCTCCAGGCAACAGGAAACCCCAGCTGCAGCCCAGACTTCAAACAGCTCCTCCCTCTGGGGCAGGGGGTGTGGGAGGAGAGGCCAGAGGGCAGAGGGCAGAGGTCAGCTTTGTTCCTGCCAGAGGTGGTGAGGGACCTGGGGAAGACGGGGGGGGGGGGGGGGGGGGGGGGGGGGGGGGGGCAGGGTAGGGCCCTTGACAGCCACATTGCATGTGTGTGAATTCTTGTGTCCATCAGGGTGCGCCTGGTTCTGGCTGTTGGTCTGTGTCTGAGGATAAATGTGTGTCCTTGCTTTGATTTCTACTCAGCCTGAGTTCTATGTCTGCCTGCATATCAGAACATGCTTGTCTGTAGGTGCTCAGCCTGGGGCCCCACTGATATGTCTGTAGGTATTATTGAGTGGCTGGATATGTCTGCTTCACAGACACGGTCAAAGCTATGTGTCCTTCTATGAGTATGACCTTTGTGTCCTAGAGGGGTGTCCCCTCTCCTGCCTCTTCTCTCATCCTTCCTCCACGTTGGTTACCAGATTGTTCCATTTGGAAAGAATCTAACTTGGTTACTCATCTGTTCAAAACCCTACAGTGGCTTCCCATTACCCAAGACTTAGAATTCTAGCCAAGTGCATGGCCGACTAGACCCCTTTCCTCTTTAGCCACTAGGCCCCTCAAATTTTATATTCCAGTCACACCTATTTAATTGTAACTCCTTGAACAGTTACATTTCTGAGCTTTCCAATCTGGAATGTCTTCTCTTGCTTCTTTATCAAGAAAATTCTTCAGCGGCTCTGGTGGCTGAGACAGGAGGATCACGAGTTCAAAGCCAGGATCAGCAAGGGGGAGACACTAAGCAACTCAGTGACACCATCTCTAATATAATACAAAATGGGGCTGGGGATGTGGCTCAGTGGTTGAGTGCCTGAGTTCAATCCCTGGTACCCCCCCACACCCCCCAAAAAGAAAATTCTTGCTTTTTTTTTTTGTCTTCCTCTGAGAAGCCTTCCAGATTTCCTTTGTCCAGTTGAATTGGGACCCTCCCCTGTTCTCCTGCATGTCCTACATTGTTATTTTCTATGTCAGACCCATGAATCCTCATTACCATTAAACTATGTGCTCTCTGAAAAAAGGAACTGTGTTGTACCTCTAACCCTGGGATGGGAAGTTTCTGAAGGGATGTGGCCCCCATCCCGGGGGCAGTTTCCTGCACTTTTGGTGTAGTACTCAAGGTTTCCACTAGAGGGCGTGCGAACACTACTGCAGGACCATAAAGGCAGCGTGTGTAATAGACGGTGTGTGTGTGTGTGTGTGTGTGTGTGTGGAAGGGAGGAAGGTTTCTATTCTGTACCTGGGAGACAACTACTGGAGTGGATAGAGGACCCACCCAGCTCAGTTCTGGAGCAGTGGAAATTAAGATAGACTCCCTAATGGGTCCTGGGACACCCATATTTCTTTTTTCTGACTTCTCCCCACAATTCATGGGCCATTCCTCATGGACTCCCCTCTTCTACTTGACTTCTGACCCCCCAACTTTCTTCCATGCTTATTAGCACTCTCAACCCTCCTGTAAATAAGTATTTGCCCTTACATGAATGGGTCTTGCTCTACCATACCTCTGAGCCTTTACACATGCTGTTCTTTCAGCCAGAGATCACCTCACTGTCTGCTTCATTAGGCAGACTCTTCTTTCACATACTCCAAGAAATTGCCTTTCGCTCTCAGACTGACCTTGCCCCTAAGTATTATAATTGTTTACTGTTCTGCCTCTCCAGTAGGACCAGTCTATAGGCGACATCAGTAAATGTGTATGAAATTAATAAATAATTTTGTTCTTTTATAAGTACAAGCGTCAGCATGTATGGAACCTACCCTGGGCCCTTCTCTGCACCATGACCTCCCTGGGCCTGACTCTAGCTCAGTATTATACTTTCCCATGCTGCTCTATCAAACAAAGAAACATGGTTCTTGAGACTCTGAGTTCAAATCCTGGCTCTATCATCCAGCTGTATAACCTTGGATGAGTGTTGGAGCCTCAGAGTCATTTCCTCTTTTGTAAAAGGGTGATAATCTCACCTCTGCACTGCCTCATGGTGAGGATCATATTAGACAATGCATGTGAAACACCCAGCATTAGTCAATTAAGTGTCCTCCTCCCCCAGCATGAACTTGGAAATAAAATTGCCCTCTGAGTCTTAAGCCAGTAAAATCCATGCATCATGGAGGAGAAGAGCCAGGTGGGGGAGTGAATGAGGCGAGAGATGGTTTTGTAAACGACTGAAGAGTTTTGTGAACGGTGCAAACCGCAATCAAGGTGACCCGCCTGTAATCTCAGGGAGGCAGGGCGAGGATGTGATTGAAATTGAGAAAGCAGAAGCCTAATCAATTGCATTGTGCTCTATCTGAAGGGAACAGAAGGCTGCAAGGAAATGGGGGAGCAAGGGAGATTCATTCAGCTACTCCAGGGGGAGAGATGGGGAATAAAAGAGATTGTAGACACTGGGAGGCTTTGGTGTGCTGAGGAGCAGGGGGGATATGTGAACTTCAGGTGGCTCACTGCCCTGCTGAGTCTTCATGGGAACCACATGGGCACCACATGGGCATCCAGGTAGAAGGCAGAGCCCCAGAAGGCAGATAAAAATATTCTGGTTCCACAATAAGACTACAGAGATTGAGAGCACTGGTTTTGGGGCCAGAATACTTGGTTTAAGCCCCTGCTCTGTCACTTATGCCCTGTCAACCTTGAAAAAGCTGAATTCCTTCACTATGGCTCAGTTTCACTATTGGCAAAATGAAGACAGAACAGCCTTGTCTTTCATAGGGTTCTGTGAGGATGAGATGCCCCATGCACTCAGCAGGATGACAGGCACAGCGTAAACAATTTGTAAATGGCGATGGCAAAGAGAGCTAATGTGTACTGAGCATTTTGTTGCTACTTCACAGATGAGCAAATTGAGGCTTGGAGAGATTAATACTTGCAAAAAAATCCACATTGCCAGCCAGTGGGGGAGGCAGGATTCACAACAGACACTACAGCTCCAGAGCTGGGCTCTTATCTGCCTACTCAAAGGCAGGTAGCAACGCTGCCCTCTTGCTGACACATCAGGCTGTTGTGAGGTGGATGGTCAGAGTCTAGGGCCCTCGTGAAGAGTTTGCTCCCGAGTGATCCGCAGAGCAGCCTCCCACTATTACGACAACCTGAGTGGCAACTTGGACTCATTTTTTGTTCCCATCCAACAACCTCCAGCACAGGGAGAGGCACAGGGAACACTTGATTCACATTGACTGCTTTGTCCCCCTTTCCTTAGTGTCTCCAATTTGGGGATATTTCCAGGGACTCTTTCTGCCAAAAACTAGGGAAGAATCACACACACATATACGCCAAATATACTGTCTTCCCACAGCCTAGAGGCAGTGAGGTCTAGTGAAAAGAGCATGGTATTGGTGTAAGGCCTTCCGTATCACATACAGCTGTATGATCCTGCTATATCCATAACCCCTAAACCTAAGTTTTCCCATTTACCAATGGGGTAATCATAAAAACAGGCTCAAGACTGGATTAAATGAAAAAAATTTTTTGATGTAAACACATCTGACATTCAGCAAGCAGGCACTTAATAAATGAGTTATTATTATTATTATTACTATTACCTCTCCCCAACCTGACAGAACTCCTTCAGAGCAAGGGCAGGTCTTATTCATGCTTGTGTTCTCAGGGTTCTGCTTAGCAAAGAGCCTGTCACATAATTGATGCCTAGTAACTGTTTGCCAATTGCAGCAGTGATTCTTAATAAGTCACAGGGTCAACCAACATTTCCTAATGTGAGAAGTGGGAATCCTTATTCCCTGTTCCCTTGTTTCCACAGGGAGGCAAGTCAAGTCCCCAGTTTCTCAAAGGAAGATCTAGAGGGTGGGACAATTTGTCATCTCACAGGTGCAAGGCAGGTTGTTTAGCACCCTTGATTCCAGCCAGTAGGAGCCCTCAGTCATTGTAACATATAAAACTGCTTCCAAAAGCTCCCTGGTGAGGTCCATAGAGTTAGACTAATCCTCAGGCCTCTCCTCTTCCTTCCCCTTCCTTCTACCTTCTTTTGGAGAACCAGCTGCAGAGGGCCCTTTGGGGTGTCCTTCCCTACTGCTCTTGAAGGAGGTGTAAGGTTGTTCCAATGTGCCTATGAGTGGCAAGTCTCCTGAAATCAGGTAAACAACTAGTAAACCCATTGTGCACAGACTGAAGGCCACACTGGTATTGGAGGGGATATTTTGATCGATTTCCAGTTGCCTGTCTTCTCTGCCCATCTCTCAACTCATCCTAAATTCAAACGGGGATGAGTAGTAGGACTTTCGGGTATCCTAAAACTCTACTCCTTGTGCTTATCAGGTGTCAAGGCATCTCTTACCTTTCCCTCCTGCTCCCAATAGCCAAATCTGTCCTGTTCACCTCACTATTGCTCCAAAGGAAGATTCAGGGAATTTTCTTGGCTCAAAGATTCATATCATCATTTTCCTCATTTACATAATCAATAAACACACATTATTTAGAGAGGCGACCTCAGCAACTTTCTCCCTCAGATCTGGGTCTAGACCCCAATCCTGGACCACAGCAGTCAACCAGCAGGAAAGGAATACGGCAAAGAATTCCTCAGTCTGTAATTTACAAGAGAATTGAGAGCAGGAGGCAAATCCTTGGGGCCTGGGCCAGAGAGGAATGACAGGAGGATAGGAAAACAAAGATTGGAGTAAGTGGGAGAAGGGGAATCCATGTTATAAATAAGTAGACAAGGTGTGAGCATTTTTGAAAGGCAGGGGAGAGAGGCCAGAGGCTTGTAATCCTCAGTAGGAAAAGAATAAACAACACTTGGGGTCAAAGTCAGTGAGAGATGAGCTCTGGGCATCTGTTTCATCCTCAATCTGAGTGGGGTGTCCTAGATTTAGATTTAAGTGGGAAGGCGAAGAACAGTGCTTGGGGTCAGAGTGGGTAAGGGATGAGCTCTTAACCTCAATTTGCCTCATCTATAAAATGAGTGGGTTGCCCTAGATGGTGTCAGAATACCTGTCCTCTGACATGCTCAGGGTCTATGGGGTTCTAAGCCTAGAGGCTTTGGGACCAGAGTCCTGGGAATTTGTAAAGGGTATTAGGCAACCAGAGTGGTGGCTGATTCCCAACCAGGCTATGTCTGGTCTCCAGGCTGGTACTGTGGTTCTGTGGAGGTGAAGTAGTCTTCTAGGAAGGACTGCAGGTACTCAAACGTGGGCCTCTCCTCTGGGTCCAGACGCCAGGTCTGTTCCATGACTTCATACAGGGATTCTGGGCAGCCAGGGGGGCATGGCATGTGGTAGCCATGCTCTACCCGTTCCAACACTTCTCGGTTATTCATGCCTGCGGGATGGTGCTCCGTCAGTTAGGGTACCTGGCCCCTCCCAAAGGAACTGCCAGGAGGAAGCCCTTCTTTGTGACCCTCCCCCAACCCCAGCACACCTGGGTAGGGGACTCGGCCCTTGGTGATGAGTTCAGTAAGCAGGATCCCAAAGGACCACACATCTGACTTGATGGTGAATTTGCCAAAGAGGGCTGCCTCTGGGGCTGTCCACTTTATGGGGAACTTGGTCCCTGGAGAGTTTGGAGGAAAAGGGAAAGTTAGTGAGGGGGATCCCTGAGAACAGCTGGATTAAGAGAATGGGGAAGTAAGGATCTTGGGGACCCTGAAGACAGTCTTTGGACACAGCAGAAAGGACCTGGTATCTAGTCCTTTATGTGTCTAGTATATTGCTAAGCACTATAACATTGTGATTTTTCATAATAATAACAGCTATGTGTCTAGCTTTTACTACGTGCTAGGCACTGTTGTTTTTTCTTCCTTCCTTTCTCTCTTCCTCCAGAGATCCAGAAGCCAGGGCCAGTAGACAAATGTTCTAGCACTGGGCTGCATCCTCAGCCCCAGGCACTGTTAGGTGATATATATATGCATTAATTCATGGAACCCTCATGAAAACTCCATGAGGTAGATACTAGGGTAGGCTACAAAGGAGGTACTGAGTAAGGTAACTTTCCTAGCTCGCACTGCCAACAAGTGGCTGGGATTCATACCAGGAATTCTGATTACAAGAATTCAGATTCATACACCCTATTTCCTCTAGCTTAAGAATTGTAGTGTGAATAACACATAATAGGTGCTTGGAAAATATTTGTTGACTTACTGTTGTTTGAATATTTTCATTTTAGTTCAGAAAAGGCTGCTCATAAAGGTTAGGTGACTTGCCCATGCCAAATGTCTGGCAAGTGGCTGAGCTGGGATTTGAACCCAGAATTGCCTCTTGAACACAGTGGCAGGGTTTCTGAGTATGTGGAACTCATGGCAGGCCCTTGGAGCTTTGCAAACTCTAGGGAGGTGGGGTGAAGATCATCACCTTGCTGGGGGTTGTACTCATCATCCTTGATGAGGCGGGCCAGCCCAAAGTCAGCGATCTTGCACACCAGCCGCTCCCCAACCAGGATGTTGGCTGCTCTCAGGTCTCGGTGGATGTAGTTCATGAGCTCCATGTAGGCCATGCCCTCAGCTACCTGGCGATGGGGGATAAGATGTGGGGAGAAGGGAGCTCATGTGGACGCCTCAACTCCTCAGCACCATAGCCTTGGGTGAGGGGTGAGAGTAGCAGTGCTCTGCCTTACTCCTGATACAGAGGGCGGGGCCGCACTTCCTAGGGTAGGCTAGGTATTTAAGAGCTCAAGGATTTGTGGAAAGATAACAGGAGCAAGATCTGAGGTACAAAGGCTGCTGGCTCAGTTTACCTGGGCTGCCATATCCACCAACTGGGGCAGATTCAAGTTCTGGCCCTCCCGGTCCTTGAGGAACTCCAGCAAGCTACCTGGGGAGACGAAGTCAGAAAATCAGCCACAAGACCCCTACTCCAGGCTGGCCTGCCCTAGATTGTTCGTGCCCCAATCCCGAACCTACCTAATCTAGCCCGGCCCCGCCTCCTGCTCCCAGCCCTTTCACGTGAGTCAGCCCCAGACTCAGGATCCCACCGGACGCCTCAACTCCTCCGTAACTCGCCCAGATGCTGTCCCTGTACGGACTCCGCACATACCTCCGCCTGGGGCCCGCCGGACACGCCCCACTAAGACTCCGCCCCAGACCCGCCCCAGACCCGTCCGGGATCGTGCGTTCTCCGCCCAAGCCCCACCCACCAGCTAAGCACACCCCCGCAGGCCCCGCCCCACCCCGCCCGCCCCACATCCCACTTGCTCTAACTTGGCGCAGCTGGGAATCCAGCACTCCTGAGGTTTCGCGTATTCCAGCCTCTAAGACAATTGTCCGTCGTCCCTTCCCAGGTCGGGGTCCAGGTCCTACCCCGCCTTAACCTCGCACCAACTCCCGCCCTCCCAGGCCCCGCCTCCTGACCCGCCTCTCACCATGGCACATAAACTCCGTCACGATGTAGATGGGTTCCTCCGACACCACGGCATACAGCTGCACCAGCTTGTCATGCCGCAGCAGCTTCATGACCTGCGCCTCCTCCAAGAAGGCCTTCGGGGACATGGTGCCTGGCTTCAGCGTCTTCACCGCCACCTTGGTGCTACCATTCCACGTGCCTGCCCGGTGGCGGCATCTTGTCAAGATTCGCTCCCCGCCAGCCCAGGCCCACGCCCCAGCCCCTGGCCCCAACTCCGGGGACTTCCGTACCCAGCCACACATCCCCAAAGCAGCCGGTGCCCAGCCGTCGCTCCAGCGTAATGGAACTGCGACTGATCTCCCAGGCGTCCTTAGCCAGGCCCAGCGTCTGTGGCTTCATGGTAGTGCAGGCTGCTGTGAGCAGGTGGCACAGCCCATCATTCACCTCTGGGGGTGAGCAGATGGAGGGAGGTTACAGGCAGGCCAGTACACCCCCATACTCCTCATCCCACCCCATCCCCATATCAGACCTCAAGGTCAGTCAATCATAAATAACTAGGGCCCAGGTGAGGTTCCAATCCAGGACAGAGGACAACTCAGCCCTCTGAGTGTATAAACATTTTGGTGCCTGGGGAAGGGAGTTGCGCCCAGAGGGAGAGAAGATCCCTTTAAGGATTGGGACCTTCTCCTAGGAGGTGGCCTCCAGCTGGGCCTTTAAGGATAAGGACAGATTCTGACAGGTGGAAATGGGGTTAGGGATTCCAGGCAAAACTGTGGACAAAAGGCCCATTCCCTTCCACGGATCTCATCCTTGGCCTAACCATTTAAGATGGAAACCTCAATCCCAAAGCCAGTTTTCCACAGAGTCAGGCCCCTTCTGCCTCCTCCCCAGGTTCGGAATTGTCTGCTTCTCCTTCACTGCCACTGACTGAATCTGGCCACTATCATCTCTTACCTGGAATGGCCATTGTCCCCTAACAGATCCCTCATTCTGCCTTGCCCCCTGGCATCCAAGCTCCTCTCAGCAACCACAGTTTCTCACTGAAGTGCAGACAAATCGGTCAGCCCCTGCTCAGGGCCCTGTGATGGTGACCTCCTGCCCTGGTACCTAGGTGGAGCACTCAGGACATCACTCACACTCAATAGTTTTCAGATTTAAACCTTAAGACAAGAAACTGGCCAATTCCGGGCTCAGATTTTAGGAGATGCTGCTTGCCACGGTGGGGCTTTGCACCTCAGTTTCCTCTGAATCACACAGAGTAGGATCCTAGGCTGGGAACCTCCATTTGTGGGTTCTAGTCTTGGCCTGGCTACTATTGCTTTGGGGAAACTTCCTCTTCTCTGAGCCTCAGTCTGTCCAACAGGTTTGCTCCGGGATCTGAAGCACCCACTTACCGACGTAGTGCTGCACCAGCTCCTGCACTGAATGGAACTGGGCCCGCGTGGTGATGTAGTAGCCACCTGTGTCCAGCTTGCGAATTTTGTAATGTTTGACATGATCGCCTCTGTTCTGGTCCCAATCACGGATGGACAGGGAGTAGGCACCTGTGGGGAAGGGTCACTTTGGATCCACTGTCCTCCTCTCCCTCATTCTGGGAGCTGGAAGAGGCCCCAAAGACAGGAACTCTGTAGGGTTTTTTGGGTTTTTTGTTTTTATTTTTGTTTTTGCACTGGAGATTGAACTCAGAGCCTTGCACATGGTAGGCAAGCATTCACCACTGAGCTACATTTCCAGCCCTTTCTTTAAAATTTTATTTTGAGACAGGGTCTCTAAATTGCCCTGGCTGGTCTTGAACTTGGATCCTCGTGATTCAGCCTCCTGAGCAGCTGGAATTACAGGTATGTGCCACCATACCTGGCTGAGGCTAGGACTCTTTAGTCTGATAGCCATGTCTCTAGAACCCAGAGCCAGTCTGAGCCCTGCCTCTCTACTGGATCCCAGTCTTATCCCTGAACCAAGCACCACTGGCCAATCCTAGCCTAGCACTAATGGCTGGGCCTCCCAGATGCCAGTGGCATGTGATACAACCCCCACCTTTGGTAGTCTCACTCTCCCGAATGAGAAAGGCCCCTCTGGGGTTGCCTGGTGAGAGAAGCTGCCTCTCTGCATCCTTCCTTCCGATCTTTCCAAAGTACCACCTGTTGGGAAGGACAGGCAAGAATCAGGTACACTCCCTTCAAACCCCCTTCCCCCTGAAAAGCCAGGACTCAATTTCTTCACCTGTAAAATGGAGCTCAAACATCTACTTCATAGCCTGGGCATCAAGATCACGGAGCAGAGGAGCAGGAAATGCTTGGCACATAGTAGGTGCCCCCCAAAAGTTAGGCTTCTCCTCTCTAACCTTTTAAGTATCTCTTGAATTAAAATTGCAAGAACTAAGTCCCCAGTGGCCTCATCAGGGTGTCACGGGTTCCCTTAGTTCATCTCACTGAGGCCCTCTATGCCCTCATGAGGAAGTTGAGGCTCAGAAGGGAAGTAACCTGCCCATGAGGCTAGATGATGTACTCCACCTAAAATCCTCTGCCACCCACCCTAGTTCTTTCCCCACCATCTCAAGCAATCACTCAGATCCCTCCCCAACCCCAGCTCCAAATGCTTCCTCCTCTGGCCTCCAGGACACCCTTTCTTGCTTCTCTTCTCCTTTTTCTAATGGTTCTCAACTGCTGCTTTCCTCTCATCCTCTTAAATTTAGTATTTTTGTCCTGAGTCTTGACTTCAACCTCAGGACTTACCTACTCCTGCTTTCTCTTGGGGATTCTTTCTGGGATTCAATTATAGCCCTAAGTCAACTATGCAAGTCCATTGGGGGAACAGAAGTGACACAGGTGCTATAGAAGACTTGGATGTGGTCTGATCAGTAGATTGACCGACGTGTTACCATTTGGGCTAAATTCAAAGGAGCATAATTTTCAAATCAAGGGAGGTAGAAGTCTCAGTGAACTCTGGGAGATTCAGTCCACACCTTCATGCTGGGAACAGTTTGGGGAACAAGGGAGGTATTCTCAAATGGTATGCCCAGGAGGGCAGGCAGAGGGAGGAAGGAGAAACGGTTTAAGGACTGTGTAGACATATTCCCAAGTTTTTTCAAAGCCCTCCTCCTACCTCTACCCATAACATAAGCTACTTTCTTAATAAACGGTATAATAAGAATAACACTTATGTCAGGTTCTGCTTTATATATATATATATATATATATATATATATATATATATATGTGTGTGTGTGTGTGTGTGTGTGTATTCATTTAATTCTTATAATATTACAAGGTAAGTGCTATTACTATTAACCCCCACTAGACAGATGAGGAAATTGAAATACCTAGTGGTTAAGCAACTTGCCTGAGGCCACACTGCGATGCCAGAATAGGAACCCCAGCTGTCTGCTCTGGGCCCTGTGATCTTAACTGCGACTCTGCACTCAACCACAGCCTGCACTGGGCACTTCTTAGACATCTTGACATTGCCCCAGGAACCTCCCAAACCTCCGTCCTCTACATTATTACCCCTCCTCTCCTCCATGCCTCCCTCACCCTCTGCAGAAGGCCTTACCCGGCTTGTGCTCTGGACCCTGCCCTTGCTTCCCTCTGCTTGAGGAATTCCCTCACCCTATAAGCAGCCCCCACATGCCCACTTTTCTTCTTTCCCCAAAGGTAACTGCTCTAAGTCCCATCTTTTTTTTTTTTTTGGTAACTGGGAATTGAACCCAGGAGTGCTTAACCACTGAGCCACATCCCCAGCCCTTTTCTATATTTTATTTAGAGACAGGGTCTCACTGAATTGCTTAGGGCTTCGCTAAATTGCTGAGGCTGGCTTTGAATTTAGGATCTTTCTACCTTGGCCTCCTGAGCCACTGGGATTATAAGCATGTGCCACCATGCTGGCTCTAAATCCCATCTCGCCATCAACATTGCCCTTAGCCTTTCTCACCTTGCCTTCACTTGAAAGTGTACTTCACACTTGCTAGCCTCCCACTCCTCCCAGGCTCTGCTGTCTGGCCTCTGCCCCCACTTCATGGGAAAGATCTCCATCAGGGTCACTCCCATTGCCAAATCCATTGGCAGCCTCTGACATGCTTTCTCATTTCCTGAAACTTCTCACCCTCCCGGCTGTTTGGTGTTGGCCTGCCCTGTTCCTCCTCACATCTCCTATGACTCCTTCTCTTCAGGGCAGCTTTCACCTTTTCCCCTTTCCCCTAGGACTTGGGTCCTAGGGCCAACCTCTCACTCTCCTCCCTCTTCCTTCACCCTCCTGTGCAGCTTTAATTATCATCCCTACTCTGAAGAGTCCCACATTTCAACCAGCCCAGGTATGCCATCTGCAAGGGCCACAGCACGCAAGGGAAGGAATCTTAAGTACCAATTAGGAAAAGGTGACCTTCTCCTGGACTATGAGCATGGGCTGGGCGCCTCCCATACAAAGCACAATCTATTCTAATTGTTGGCAGCCTCCTCCACCAGGGTGTTCCTCTAAAACCTCAGTCCAACAAGTCCCCCCATAACCCATTACCTCTACTTGCCCCTTTGTCCTATGCCTTAGCACTGGCACCATCACCCACCTGAAGTCGCCCTTGATTCCACCTACTCTGCGCAGCTAAATACCCAATCAATCACCAGGTCTTAGGGATTCCATTCTGCAAGGACTCTTTTTTTTTTTAAACCAGGGATTGAACACAGGGCACTTGACCACTGAGCCACATCCTCAGCCCTATTTTGTATTTTATTTAGAGACAGGGTCTCACTGAGTTGCTTGGTGCCTTGCTGAATTACTGAGACTGGCTTTGAACTCAAGATCTTCCTGCCTCAGCCTCTCAGGCTGCTGGGATTACAGACCCGCAAGGACTCTTCTATCCTTTTTTTTCTCATAAATGTATGGCACCCAAGAGGATAGATCTTAAAAAGCTTTTATGAACCCCAATCTCCTCATCTATAAAAGGGGGACATTAATAATATCAATAAAGTTATTGTGAGAATTGAATGAATCAAGCTAGGTAAAGTATCTGTTACAGGCTCTCAACTATATAAAAATAGTCAGTGAATGTTAATTCCCTGCTATTTTTTTTTTCATTTTGGGGGGGGTGTGGGGATTAAAACCAGGGAGTGCCTTGTGCATGCTAAGCAGGAGGTGCTCTACCACTGAGCTGCACCACAACTCCTCCCTGCCTCCTTTTTTTTTTTTTTGTGGTACTGGGGATTGAACCCAGGGGCACGTAACCACTGAACCACATCCCCAGCCCTTTTTTGTATTTTATTTAGAGACAGGGTCTCGCCAAGTTGCTTAGCTTCTTGCCAAATGGCTGAGGCTGGCTTTGAATTCACAATCATCCTGCCTCAGCCTCCCAAGCTGCTGGGATTACAGGCATGTGCCACCATGCCTGGTTCCACTTTATAGTTCTTTAAAGCTCACACACAGTTGCCATCATTGAGAGGCCAGGCAATTGCTGCAGGACTATCTGGCTTCATACAACAGCTCTGCAGCTCACTAGCCATGTGGACACTGAGCCTCAGCTTCCTCATTTGTAAAAGAGGTAATAATAGAAGCACTTTAAAGAGCATCCAGCACACAATACCTGCTATATATGCATTATTCACTATTATTTTCATCATTATTGTCTCATTTTATTCCCACAGTAACCTTACAAAAGTGTAGACAAGCGGGCAGGCTCAGAGTTTGGACTCCAGGATCTTATCCATAGGGCCGGCCTCCCCGCCTTCCCCACTCACTCTTCAGCTTGGATGGAGTCCACAGGAGCCACATAGTTGCTGGGGATGTAGCCAGTTTGTCCGGAGCTGAGAGACCGTGCCTCCCACCAGTCACCTTCACTGCAGGCATAGAACAGGGTGGTGAAGGGGTAGTCAGCAGCAGCTCCAACCCCTGGGGCACACAGAAGCCAGACAGGGCCATGCTGATTGGTGGATACTGGCCCTGCCAACCCCTCATCTAGGGACTCCCCCATCTGGATCAGCTCTGCTCCCAGCCACTGCAGCTGTCCCAGGAGGGCTATTCTCTGAAGAAGGAATCAGTTTGAGGACATCTGGATCTCCTGGCTTCTTTTCTCTCGCTCCTTACCTGGGCAGGAGTGAGTCAGCTAACTAGGTCTCTTGCCCCACTGATGCTCCCCCACCAATGGTTTTATATTTCCTTCTAGATAAAATCCAGACAGCTCATTCTTCTTCTTTTTTATTTCCTTCTAGATAAAATCCAGACAGCTCATTCTTCTTCTTTTTTCCTTCCCCGTGCTGGGTATGGAACCCAGGACCCAGCACATTCATTCCCAGCCCCTGGATCTCAATCTTTATGATCCGACTAGACCTAACTGCTCAGTGGTTTTCAGAAGTCATCATTTATTCTCATTCTCTCTTCCTCCTTTCTCACCTCTTCCTTCATTCTTGGTTAATTTCTCTAATCTCATCTTAAAAATCATCTCCTCCAGGAAGCCTGCCCTGAGCACCACTACCCTGGACACCAAGTTTGGTGTTCTTTTGTGTTCATATTTCCTCATGTTCCCTCCACTCACAAAGTAGTCACCCACGTTTGTTTTTGTTTTTTTGGATGTGTATGGTTCTGGGGGGGAACCCTGGGGCACTCTATTACTGACTTACACCCTTAGCCGGCCTGCTCCCTCCCTCCCTTCCCCTCCCTTTCCTTTCTTCCTTCCTTCCGACCCTCCTTCCCTCCTTCCCTCCTTCCTTCCTTCCATTTTTTCTTTCGAGACAGGATCTTGCTAAGTTGCTCAGGCTGGCTTTGAACTCGTGGCCCTCCTGCCTCAACCTCTGTAGATGGGATTAACCCCACCTCTGCCACCATGATCACCCAGTGTTTTCTGTTTGGTTTGGTTTTTCAATGCTGGGAATGGAACCCAAAACCCTGCATATGATAGACAAGTGCTCTACCACTGAGCTGCACTCCCAGGGGTTTTATTTTCATGCATATGTGTCCCCAACTTGTCTGAAGCTTTCTGAAGACAGGGACCAGATAGAACTCTTCTGGGGTCTTGCTCCCAGCCCGCCTGGGGCCTGAACTAAGTGGCCTGGTCACTTACGTGTTGTTCAGGATGTGGAACTTCTCGCCCTTGGTGAAGGTAAGGTCATCCTCTGTCCGGGCCTCATAGTCATACAGGGCAATGAACATGGTCACCCCGGTCCCTGCAGAGTCAGGGTTGCTCAGTAGAATAGGGAACAGAACAGAGCACCAAGGGTGCTGCACACCGAGATTCCTATTCCCCAGCCAGGCACTGTGCCTCCCCACTGCCACAGAGCCCCAATTTTGCCAGAGGCCTTTGGAATCCAGTGGATTTTTGGATTCAAAATTCACCTTGGCCCCTACGTGGATTTAGGATACATAGCTTCATGCCCTTCTTACCCTGGAGAGTCCCCAAATTGTCTACTTTTCCTCCTCCCCACCAAGAAGACCCCCCCCAACCTGGGAAGTGGCACCCGAGAGGCCAGAGGCATCTGTCATTGAGGTGCCTCTCTCAGATGAGAACAGAGCTCCATCTCCCTCTCAGACTGGGGTTTCAGGGTAGGGCTGTGCACACTCCCTCAATCTGGGTAAGCTTGAGAGGACAGCTGCATCTTCCACATTAGTCTGGAAGCTTCTAAGGACAAGTCCACATGTCCCCTTCCCTCAGTTTCTCTTAGGACCCAGGAAGCACCTGTCTCCAGGCCTCTGGACTCACCTGAAATGCCCCTGATGGTGCCACTATCAAGGAAGGCAGGGCTGGTGGGCTGGGGGGTAAAGTTGTTATAATTGGGGATTTGGGCAAAGGAGGGTGCAGGCCGGGCCTGAGTGGGGTCAGGGCCATAGCGATCTGCAGCCCCATAGCTCTTGAAGTCCCCTTCCAGGCCAGCATCTTCCTTGGGCCCCGGCTCCAACTTCTTGCAGAACACACAGCCCATTCCAGGAACCCTGCTGCAGAATGGGGGTGTGCCTCACTCAGGGGCCCTTGCCAAGTGCACCACCCTATGCACACATGTGTGCACGGGCACACACACATGCACACACACTTGCATAGGCACCAAACTCCCACTCAAGGGCCTGGATTAGGATCCTCCCTAGTAAGGGACAAAGATGCAGCAGGGCCATTTTGGGGTCTGCCTTCATGTGTTTGAATAGATTGTGTCTCCTCAGTGCTTGTCTCCCCGCCCCCTCAAGTCCACATCCCTGGGGCTGATGTTTTACATTGGATGGTGCTGTGTAGATTTACATATTTTTGCCTCCCATTGCTTTGAAATGTTGTTTCTGCGACTCCTTCTGGGTGCTTGTGCATGTGTCTTTGTGTGTCTCTAAGTGTGTTTAATTGTGTGCGTGCAGTTCCTGGTGAACATCTGTATGTGCAGGTTGGTGTGTACAGAGTTTGTGTAAAGGTCTGCAAGTGTGTCTGGCTATGTGTGTGCACATCCATATGAGCGTGTGAGTATGTGTTTCTGTGTGAGTGTCAGTCTGTGTGTGTGCGCGTGTGTTCGGGTCTGTATGAGCCGGTGTCTCTGGTCTGTGTGTCTGTGACCATGAACACAGCTCTGGGTGGAAGCTTATGGGCTTGTCTCTGTGCGTGCCTGTGTGTGTGTGTCTGTGTGTCTGTGTCTGCATGTTTGCGTGTAAGTGTGTATGAGAGCTGTGTGTCTGCACCTGGAGATTCCCTGCAGAGGGGGATCAAGGCCATTTCCTGTCGTGAGTCCAGCCTCAGGCCTCTCAAGCTGCCTCATTCTGGCTCACCCATCCGTTACCTAGCAACAGGGCCCTTGTAGGAGGAGGGGGCTGTGAGGCGGTTGTGGGGCCAGGAAGGCCACCCCCACCCTGTTTCCTGACCCTAAAAGCCTTAGTCCTCCCCCCTCCCCCACTCACCCCACAGGCCCTGACTCCTGGGTCAGTAGGGCTGCTGCATCGTCCTTGGGAGGGGCTGGAGACCTGAGGGTGAGACAGAAGGACATGAAAGATGAAGGTCCTGCCAATGTTCCTGGCAGCCAGCTGCCCGGCTCCTGCCCTCTTCAGGAAGCCAGAAGGTCTGGGCTCCACCCCAGCATGACTTCTGCCTTCATTTTCCATCCCACCACCCCTGGTACACTTACACATCCACCCTCTCACATAGGCCACACCACCCACACCAACTCTCTCACACTCGGATCCCCCTGACACCAACACATGAACACACACACCAGCACACAGTCACACAACACCACTCACAGCATATGCTTGCGTGAGTGTGCTTGCCAACACCACCACACACCAGCACAGCTCCAACAAGCCCAGGCTCTGATGCACGACAGCCCCCACACACGTCCACAGGCATGGATGCCTCTCAGGTTAACAGACTCTCACACTCAGACGCTCATATTTTTGTATTTAGACCCATCTCTCTAACTGGATTTCTATCAAGCTATGCTCAGCTCCCTGGAACCTTGCCTCTGCTCCCGGCCTGGGCAAACCCCAGCAGCCCTAGGATCTCTGGTGCCAGAACAAAAGCAGACACCTACCTCCAGAGCTCCACTCCTAACCGCACATCAGAGAAAGGTTTAGGGCAGCAGTTAGGGCCAGTAGTCCCCTAGGGAGCTCCCCAAATGAACCAAGCCTTCCCTAGCAATAGTGTCCTCTGAGCAACAGGGTAGGGAGGTCATTGAGCAAGGGGTCCCCACCCCTCCTCCTCTGGGCCAGAAATTCTGCCATTGCAACACTCAGAGAGGAACTGGCTGGGGAGAGGGCTCTGTTTCCCAAGATGTAAGAGGAATGGAGAGCTGTAGGGTGGGGCCATCTCAAAGAACCCGTTTCCCCGAGAGGGGTCTGAAGATCTCGGAGATAGGGGGGCTCTAACTTGCCTCCTTTGGCCCCCTCTTGCCCTCCTCTATAAAGAGACTCTTCCTCTTTTCTCAGAATCCTGCCCTTCTAAACCAACACCACCAGTCTTTTCCAGGAGACCTTCGTACATCTAACAGGTTCAGTTGCCTGTGGACAGTTCTGTCAGACCAGTGGCCAGACCTCTGTCCTAGCCCCACCAGCCCCTCTCACCCTTCACTGGAACTGTTCTCTCATGGGGCAGAGGGTGACACCCATGTGGTGAACTGTGAGGACAGTTGTGGTGAGAGGTCTGCCCTAAAATAGGCCCCGTTCTCTAGACTCCCACTGAGACCTTTGCCCCAGGACCCTTCTGTGAAACCACTGTCTGCAAGGCCGGGTTGCAATGTGGTTGGGGCAGGGGAGAGAATAAAGGAGGAAGGGAAGGAGACGTCTAGGTTCGAGTTGAAGGAACTTTAGGGAAGGTGAGAGGAGAGATGGGATGGATATGAAAGCAAGGGTTCCAAGGTAAGAATGAAGGTCTTCTCGCAGGAAGACAAACACACACCTCAAAAGCTGCACCGAGCTAACGCCAACCCACACAGGCCTCTTGACACATTCTTGGACAGTGTCTCAGCTGCATACCACACATCATACAGACTCTGAGCTCCTCTGTGCTGATTCCCAGACACATACATCTTCAAGTGTTCACACGCCACATATACACGAATTTCCAGCCCTCATCCGTCTGTACATAGACACACACACACAGCCTCTCCACAAGAACAGTAAATATGGCTGGCTTCTGTAATTCCAGCAACCTGGGAGACTGAGGTAGGAGGATTGAAGGTTCAAGGCCAGCCTCAGCAATTTAGTGAGGCCCTAGGCATCTTAGTGAGATCTTGTCTCAAAAAAAAAAAACAAAAAACTGGGGATTTGGCTCAGTGGTTAAGTGCCCTTGCCCTTGGGATCAATACTTAGTACAAAAAAAAAAAAAAAAAAACCCAGCAAAATATGGAATTTATAGTATTTTCTATGTAGCTGCCAGTATGTTAAACTGTACCAATACCACCTCACAACTACCCTATAATTTTATTTTTTTTTTGTACCGGGGATTGAAATCAGGGGCACTCAACCTCTGAGCCACATCCGCCCTATCTTGTATTTTATTTAGAGACAGGGTCTCACTGAGTTGCTTAGCACCTCACCATTTCTGAGGCTGGCTTGCACTTGCTATCCTCCTGTCTCAGCCTCCCGAGTCGCTGGGATTACAGGCATGCGCCACCGTGCCCGGCCTAATTTTAAATATTTTTAAAAATTCTTTTTAGATGTAGATGGACACAATAGCTTTATTTCATTTATTTCATTTATTTATTTATTTATTTATTTATTTTTGTAGTGCTAAGGATCAAACCCAGTTCCTCACATATCTTAGGCAAGAGCTCTACCACTGAGCTCCAACTGCAGCCCCTAAATTTAAATATTTTTATTATTGCTGAGGCAACTCCCAGGCACAGAGAGGCTTAGAAAGTTGTCCAAGATCACCCAGATGTATCTTGGCATTTGACTCCAAAATCTGAGCTGTCAACCAATCCTCTCTATTCCCTGTCACAGATATAGGTAGTTGCAGCCATTTCTACAAATAAATGTGTGCAAATTCAGAGCCCAGATAGGGACACACATAGATTACATAGCCTTCTTCTTGAGACAGCCCCGCACAGCTCTCCTCTATAGGATACAAACTTATACAACTCTGGGGTCCACACATAGCTACACTGTTCTCACTTCCAAATAATACTCAGGTGCAGATTGCCACAGCATATCTCTACAGTCCAAGGGGAGCCGCAGATTCTGCATTCCTGGTATGGGGGTAGGGAACAAGACCAAAAGCTAGTGGGCCGAGGAGGAGCCCTGACAGGGCTGATGTTTGGCCAGCAGGCAGAAGTGGGCAGCTCTCAGGGCTTTATCACACCCAGACTTGAGGGGACCCATCTGGGCCTGGCTCTTGGGACCAGTATGCTAAGGGGCTGAGAGGCTGTGGGACACAGGGTTTGGCATCTGCAAGGCCTTAGAGAGGGGTCATATTGCATGTGACCATACTCATGTTTTTTTTTTCTTCTTCTTCTTTTTTCTATCTTTCCTTCTTTTTTGGTACCAGGAATTGAACCCAGGGGCTCTAACACTGAGCCACATCCCCAGCCCTATTTTGTATTTTATTTAGAGACAGGGTCTCACTGAGTTGATTAGAGTCTTGCTAAATCGCTAAGGCTGGCTTTGAACTCTCTGTCCTCCTGCCTCAGCTTTCCAAGCCACTGAGATTACAGGCATGCACCACTGCACCTGGCAGCTCATGTGTTTTTTTTTTTTTTTTTTTTTTTTGGTGGTGCTGAGGATTGAACCCAGGGCCTTGTGCCTGCAAGGCAAGCACTCTACCAACTGAGCTATGTACCCACTCCCCACTCCCAAGTAGTTTTTGTCAGAAAGAAAAAGATGAGAAAGACAGCAAGAGAGAGAGAGAGAGAGAGAGAGAGAGAGAGAGAGAACGCAGGGGTGGGGTGGTCAAAGACTGAGAGAGAAATAAAGAAAGATAAAAAAAATCTAAAAAGCCAGAGAGACAGAGGATGGGAGAAAAAAAATCAAGCCCTGATTTGTAGCATTTGCTGATGTCCCTGGTATAAATATTCCCACCATGGCTGACTTAAGGCTACTGAAGTGACTTCTGGGAGGCAGAGCTGGAAAGGGATTCAGAGAATCAGCTCCCCTCAGCCAGTACCAGGCAGCTCCCGCCTGTCACCACCAGAGAGAGACCCCAAAAAATACAAAAAAGAAAAGTGGAGACAGAAATGCAAGGTAGAAAGAAGAGCAATGGAGAGATAGAAACAGAAAAAGAGAAAGAAAAAGATGAAAAGAAAGGTCAGTGACAGAAAACTAAAGAGACTAAAGAGCCGGAGGTGGTGGGGAGGGAACAGGACTAGAGAAAGCAGGCTGTGTCCTCTCTGCTCAGGCATCTGCATGAGAATAGCCCCCAGGACTCTTTGCCCCTTGCTCTGATCCCAACTCTCCTGCCACCAATTCTCTAGGGAGTAATTAGACTTCCTCAAAGTCTGGATGACACACATTATTAGTAAAAATGTGCTAATTTATTAAACATTTACATAGTGGTTGGCATCATGCTATGCAATTCCTATGCATGATATCAGTTTGTGACCTTATGAAATAGGTTTATTTATTTTAATTTTTAAGTTGTTGATGGACCTTATTTTATTTATTCACTTATATGAGATGTTGAGAATCGAACTAGTGCCTCACATGTACTAGGCAGGTGCTTTACTACTCAGCTACAGCCCCAGCTTGGTAGATTTTATTTTTAAGCTTTATTTTACAGAAAGGAAACTGAGGCACAGCTGTTAGTAACTTGCCCAAGATTACATTTGCAGCAGGAGGTCAATCACTTGGTTCCAAAGCCCACCTAGGCACTGTTCTATTTTGTGGTTCTAGTAGAAGCAAGGATGTGTGTCCCTTTATGAGTGCCTGCTGTGTGCCAGGCCCTATGCTATATGCTCTATATTGTGGTTATGGCCCAGAGAGAGAAACTGATCTGCTGTGTTTCTTTTCTGGGAGACTCTGAATTGGCTACCTGCTATCACCAGAAAGGGAGTGACTCAAAGAATGGCCACCAGCATTCTGGGCACTGCAGGACCTGGAGCTTATTTGTGAATTTTTTGTGTGTGCGTACTGGGAATCAAACCCAGGGCCATGTGTATGCTAAGCACATACTCTACCACTGAGCTATAACCCGTGTCCAGAGTATGTTCCTTGAACATCTGGTTAACAGGAATAGGTTCTCAGAGCCCCATCAGGATCTAAATCAGATTACAGGTTTCAGAGCTGAGATCCAACCTTAGATCATGGTACTCCCTAACTTCAACATCCACCCCTGGGTGACCCTCTCTAGGTCTGTTCTTCAGATGAACATCAAGGCCTCAGAGTCTCAATTTTCTTGTCTGCACCTTCCACGCAGAACTGTTGTGAGAACTTCATGTGACAAAGCTCTTGCTTAGTGTGCAGTGGCTAAGATAGGCTGAGACCCACCAAAGCAGAGTAGCATGGCTTCCAGGGACACTTGTTAATCTACTCTCCTCTTGTGTGCAGGCGGGCAGTGACTTGCCTGTCACAAAGCCAGGCAGAAGATTCAAAGCCAGGACTATTCAGTCCAGAGTTCTGTTCCTGGCACTGTGGTGGTGTTCTCCAAAGCCCAAGCAAGATCATGCTGTCCGTAAATGGTGAATTTCATTCTCCCTACTCAACCCCTGGACAACTGAAAACATCATCCCTGACATGTCCCATGGCAGCTAACCACCCAGCAGGGAATCTGTCTCCCACTCATCCCTACCTTATACATAGGAGCTCCAGGCCCACCCATCTTTTTTTTTTTGTACCAGGGATTGAACTCAGGGGCACTCAGCCACGGAGCCACACCCACAGCCCTATTTTGTATTTTATATTATTTTTTGTACTGAGGATTGAACTCAGAGGCACTGGACCACTGAGCCACATCCCCAGCCCTATTTTGTCTTTTATTTAGAGACAGGGTCTGACTGAGTTGCTTAGCGCCTCATCATTGCTGAGGCTGGCTTTGAACTCACAATTCTCCTGTCTCAGCCTGCAGAGCTGCTGGGATTACAGGCATGAGCCACTGAGCCCAGCTCCAGCCATCCTTTTTTGAGGGCCATACTTCCCAAAGGCCTTCAAGGCTTTGATGTAGGCACAGGATGTCCTGCCCTCTCAACCCCTGCCAAGGATCTGGGGATCAGGAGACAGATTAAGGCTCATATTCTACTCCTGCCTGACAACTAGCTTGAGATATTGGGCAATTCATCTCTCTGAATTGACGTTTTTTTGCCTATAAAACAGGAATACAAATTTCTACCTCACTGGGTTGCTCCTGAGCATCAAATGCTGTCAAGCCCCTGACATATCAGGCTCATAGTAGGTGCTCAATGAACTTTCACTTCCTTCCTGTCCCTTTGAAGAAGGGGGGGGTATTGTAGGGGGAGAGGTGAGAATGCAAGATTGGGCGGGGTTGAGAAGAAAGAGAAGTTCCCAAGCAAGGTGGGAGTGCCTAGCACGCCTGGGGATTTCACCAAAAGGGAACTGGGACTTGGGGCAGTGGCAGGAAACCACCATCCTGCAAGAGTTCCGGCTTCTCCTCAGGCTCCTGGCTAAGCAGGGGCAGGCCCTAGGCTGGAGGGGCAGAAGTAAGTCTAAGGTCTGCAGACTCCCCCATCCCTCTCAAGCCCTGAGCCCTCACTGAGGGCTTCCATCCTCGCCTGCAGTCCTCTCACTGAGTCCTGCCACCCACATGACTCAAGGGCCCTTATTGAGCCCTCATTTCCCTCACTGAGGCCCTCAGCTCTCAACCCTCTTGTATCTCAACCTTCCTCTCTTGAGGCCTCACAGCCCTCCCCACCCCTGAATGTGCAGAGGCTAAGACTTACCCCATGAGATGCACTCTATCACCCCTGATAAGGCCAGGGGAGTGTGTAAGTGCACATGCGTGTGTGTGTCTGTGTATAAGTGAGGCCTCTCTGTGACACACTAGTTCTACCCTCCACATGGTCCTGAGGATAGAAGCTGAGTTTTTTTCTACATTCTTCTGGGTAAAATTTTTTTCCACCTATCACTGAAAATCTGCTCACTAACCTCTAAAACAGGGGTCTTTTGATCCTGCTGGCTTGAGACTCAGGAGAATGGAAACCATGAGTAGTTTGGGGGGAATTGAGGGAATCAGATCTGGGTTCCACAGGTGGCCAAATGGGAAGTGCCCCCAGGGGTCCTGCTGGGGTAGGGTGGGAGGCATCTTGCCCTCTCCTATCTTGGCCAACCCAGTCTGCTCTGTATGGAAAAGGCTTTGGCTCCTCCTTCCTTTCCCAGATCTGGATTTCCATACCCATTGTGCCAAGGTCTGGCCATTTCCTTTGGCACATCAGCCCCAGGTGGCTACAGAGAACACCCGAACAACCACATATAAGCTCCAGGCTCAAGCTCATTCACTCAAAGCCCAAACCAAACTCACTAAGTCTCACACCCTCACTCACAGCTTCATACCCACTGCTGAGAAGGAGCTAACCTTAAACCCATGGGCCCTGCCTTTTCCTCCCCATTCCACCATCCCCCTCTCCAGAGGCCATATGAGTTTAATCAAGAATGGAATGGGGCTGGACACTTTGGCACACACCTGTAATCCCAGTGGCTCCAGAGGCTGAGGCAGGAGGATCACAGAGTTCAAAGCCAGCCTCAGCAAAAGTGAGGTGCTAAGCAACTCAGTGAGACCCTGTCTCTAAATAAAATATAAAAGAAGGCTGGGGATGTGGCTCAGTGGCTGAGTGACCTTGAGTTCAATACCCTATACCAAAAAAAAAAAGGAATGGGGACTCAGGCCTCGGCTCTGGCTACTTCCTGCACCATAATAAAATGAGATACCCTGGATTCAGGGCCTCTACTGCTGGCCCTGCAAGACACTGACTTCCAAATCTGCATCCATCCATGAAATGGCAACAGAGCCCTGCTCTTCAATCCCTACCACAAACCTAAAGATGCAAAGGCCTCAAGATCCCTGAGAGACCATAGGCCTGAGGGGCAGCCAACCTGATGTGGCGCATGGAGGATAGGGACAGATCCCAAACCCTGCTGGGATCCCTAGAATGAATTCTCAGCAGATCCACAGTAGATGCCAACTGTGTGCTGCTGGTCTCTGGAGGTGCTGTCAGTAGGACCCAGGCTTTCGGCTCCCCCATCAGGTTTTGAGAAGGTGAAGGACAGTGATAACCTTAACCCCTTCAGCAAAAGCGCTTTATCTGTAATCCCAGCTAGAGGCAGACTGAGGCAGAGGATTCCAGGGCCAGGCCAGTCTAGGCAATTTAGCAAGACCCTGACCCCAAATAAAATAAAAAGGGCTGGGGATGTAGCTCAGAAGTAGAGCTTTAGCCTAGCCCGCCTGAGGCCCTGGGCTCAATCTCCAGTAGAGCAAAACAAAACAAAAACTGCTTTTCTGCAGGTGATTCACAAGGGGGAGAAATAATTTCTCCGCTAGTTCAAGTGAGGAAGAGACTGAGAGAAGTCCTGTAACTTGCCTTTAGTCACACATCAATTAAGAACCCAATCTTGCTAAGAAACCAGCTCTCTGAGACTGCAGATCCCTCACCCCAGGATCCCTGAAACCTGAATGCCATCTCCACACTCCTCGGTTGGGCAGCATGCCCCCGACTGAGGATCCAAAACCCGGACGAAAGCGGGACCAAAGGGGGCCGCCAGCAGCGAGCCTGCAGTGACCCAGCGCCCGCTGGCCTCTCCGCCCTCTCGTTGCCATGGAAACAGCCCCTCCAGGCATTCGCGGTCAAAGGCAGGATTTCCGTCGGGGCGGCCAGCAATTCCCGGATCCCGAGGGGAATGCGGACCTAGACCGCTACTGCCGGCGGGGAGGGGGCGCCCCGAGAGGCCGGTCCCTGCTGAGGGCGGGGACTTCCCCAGGAAGCTGGGACCCACGGCTCTAGCGCCTTGAAGGAATTCCCTGCCACCGGAGCCCGCCCACCACTGCCGGACCCGAGGGTCTGGGGGCTGCAGTCCTGGCCGCCTCGCCTACCTCGCCGGCCACCGGCCTCACCCCGACTTCTGCCGATTCCGGACAAGGGGCATTCCTGGACCCCCGGGACTATGCCCAGTACTGCGTCCTCCACAAATCATCCTCCTTGACTCCCTTCGCGTGAACTCCCGCGCCGGATCCTCCCAGGACCCTCCACCTAGTCCCCCTCTGTCAGAGCTCTCAGCGTCTCCCTAATTTCTCACTCTCAAAGTCCCCTCCACTTCTCCACAAGACCATTTTGGGGTTCCCCTGAGCCCCTTCCCTTGACTCTGCCCGCTTCCCAAAGTCTATCAACCTCACTCCCTAGGTTCCCTACATTCTCCCCATCAGACCTTTTTGGGGAATCTCTTTAGTTTGCTTTCTCCATATTTTCTCAGCTCTCTCCCCAAATATTAAAAGCCTCACTCTGCAGGTCTCCAGTGTTCCTCCTTAAGCCCTTTAGGGGTGGTATCCCTGGCGGTCAGCTCCCTGAGTCTGCTCCCCAAGTGCAAGCTCATCCCCCGGCGATCTAGAGTGTCCCTGCCGGAGCGGGAGGGGCACCACCTGCCCTTCCCAGCCCCCACCTGTCACGGCCGCCTACCTGGTCCCAGGGGAGCCCGCTTCTGACCGACCTGGGGCGACCCAGCCCCGGTTCCCAGAAGCCACAAGTGCTGACGTCGGGGAGAAGTGGGGTGCTGCCCGCCTCTGCCCGCTGCCCATTCTGGGCAGAGAGGAGGAAGCCGCCTCGGACTTCTCTCTTATTGCGGTAGCGGCGGCGGCGGGGAGAATTCGCAGTCACGCCCCATCCCCAAGCCAGCAGCCCGCAGCGGGGAGGGGCCCCCAGATCCCGGCCTGCCCTCCCCCACTTTCCTCCTTCCCGGGTTACCTGGGGTCGGCTCTCCCAGCCCCCTCCCCACACCCCAGCCCCTCCCTGCGACCTGAATGCTCTGCGATGCCTTCCCAAAGGCGCCCTCTCCAAAGGGAGAGGTTTCTCACCCCCAAGAAGCACCTGCTCATTTAGAATCATTGTAGTGGAGATCAATTGTCGCTTTTCTTTGTCACTGAGAGACACCCCCCCCCACACACACACACACACACACTTCTTTTCCTGCTGGTAAAATTGGGAACCAGATCAGAACTGGCCTTACACAAGTTCTCAAAGAGTTGACCTTCGACTGCTGTCACCAGAGCCACCGTGGATCCTGTCACCATGCCTTGCCTTCCCCCTTCCTTAGGAGGTGGGGAGGAGGGAAGACCCTGCCCTTAAGAAACTGCTTTTCAGAGGAATACATTCTCAGGCCACAGTCACACGCCCAAGTTTTAGAAAACCTGGATGCCATCCTTTATCATCATTCCAGCCTTTCCTACTAAGGATCCCTGATCCCTGCCCATCCTGGGATCCACACCCTTCCCCACTGTTACTTCTTCAGCTTTAAACCGAGGACCAGGAAAAGTGCTCCTGTCTGGGGAGGAAGAGGGGGGCCTGAGAGGGTTGTTAAGAGGAAAAAATATATGGGGTGGTGGTGGAGGGGAGTAAACACAAAGGTGGGGCAATTGATTGTAGGCAATGACACCATGACTTTGGCTTTAGAATGAAAAACTGGGATAGGTGTGTTTCTATAAAAGGGCAAGGGTGTGTGTACAGCAGTGAGTCCCATATGACTTTAGGGTGACGGCAAGTGGTGGGATGTAGATAAGAATGCTTTCTCTTAGGAAAATGGAAGAGAGATGAGGAAGACGTCAAGAAAGTGGAGATGCAAGGACTTTGGAAGGCTGGCCTTGCCCTGGCTGGGCAGCTTACCTCCACCACTGAGCACCTCCTGACTCCTCACTGGTTCACATGTTTTATTTACAAATAAACATTTATCACTGCCTGTCAGGTGCCAGCTTTAGGGAACGCAGAAATGAAAGAGACTGGTCCCTGCTCTTGGGGGAGCTTCCAGGCTATCAGGCTTGCTCTGTCATCCTTCAAGTTCTGGCTCACAGGCATCTCCAGGAGGTCTTCCCTGATGGCTGCCCTCATCCCCAGCAGAGCACTCAGCAACCCCTGCCTGGTATGTCACTGGCCCAAGGGGGTGGGCAAGAAGGATGTTTTCCTAAAGGTCAGGACTGAGCCCTGCTCACTTCAATGCCTTCAGTGCCCAAGCAGGTCCTGGCAGAGTAGCAGTCTTTCTGGGCATCGGAATACACAAATCAGCCAAAGAACAAAAAATTAACAGATAAGGGCTGAGTTGTAGCTCAGTGGTAGACCCTTTGCCTAGCACGTGTGAGGCACTGGGTTCGAGTCTCAGCACTGCATATAAGTGAATAAATAAAATAAAGGTCCATCAAAAACTTAAAATTAAAAAAAAGAATAGGTAAAGAAATGAAAGTCCAGTGAAAATAAATAATTAAAGGTAAGAATGAAGAAATTGAATGAAAGAACAAAATTGATGCTGTTTTTTATAATTTATTTATAATAAATACATATTTGTATGTATGTGGAGGGTGCTTGGGTTAAACTCAGAGATGCTTTACCACCCAGCTACATTCCCCAGCTCTTAATTTTTATTTTATGGGGCTGGGGAAGTGGCTCAAGCGGTAGCGATCCTCAGCACCACATACAAAACAAAGTTGTTGTATCCGCCGATAACTAAAAAAAAATAAATATTAAAATTCTCTCTCTCTCTCTCTCTCTCCCCTTCTCTCACTCTCTTTAAAAAAACATGCATCTCAATTTTCACACTTCTTAACTTTATTAAAAAATTTATTTTATTTTTTTTAATGGAAAGCATATTTTTAAATTTTATTTATTTATTTATTTTGGTACCAGGGATTGAACCCAGGGGAGCTCAACCACTGACCTACACCCTCCACCCTTTTTTGCAGGGGAGGGAGATACCAGGGATTGAACTCAGAGGCACTTGACCACCTGAGTCACATCCCCAGCTCTATTTTGTGGTTTATTTAGAGACAGAGTCTCACTGAGTTGCTTAGCGCCTCACTTTTGCTTAGGCTGTTTTTGAACTTGTGATCCTCTTGCCTCAGCCTCCAGAGCCACTGAGATTATTGGCGGGTGCCACACCACCCAGCAAGCTCTTTATTTTTTATTTCAGTTCTCACTAAGTTGTTGAAGCTGGCAGCAAACTTGTGATCTTCCTGCCTCAGCCTTCTGAGTCACTGAAATTACAGGCATGGGCCACCACACCCTGCTTATTTATTTATTTATTTATTTATTTATTTATTTATTTATTTCAGGGCTGGAGATTGAACCTGTGGCCTCATTAATGCTAGGCAAGTATTCTACTATTGAGTTACACCCCCTAGTTCTTTTTATTTCTTATTTTGGGTCATGGTTTACCTAAGTGGAGGCTGGCCTTGAATTTGAAATCCTCCTCCTTAGCCTCCTGAGTAACTAGGATGACAGGCATATGTCACAGCACTCAGCTTGACTGTCCTTTTTAAAATATGTATTGGATCACATTTCTTCCTTGTTTAAACTCTCCCAGTGATTCACTTTTCATTCTCATTAGAATTATAAAAATATAAAATATAATACAATAATTAAAAAAATATCCAAAGACTTTGTCATGACTTGCCCCCGTCCCTTTCCAGTCCCATAATGAACCATCTCCCACTTTAGCTCCAGCAGAATCCTTTTCCTAGAACACATTGAATGTTTGCCTCTGAGCTTTCTTGCACATTGTTCCCTTTTCCCAGGACACTCTTCCCCTTGCTCTTCACAGTCCTGATTCCTTTCCATTCTTCAGTGGTAGCGCCATCTCCTCCCAGAGTGTTTCTTGACCACCTCAGCTAAGGAGGTCTCCTTATTCTGGGTCTTTGCACCTGCTTTCTCCTCTTCTTGGCCTTCACCATCTGGAATCGTGTATCTCTGTGTGGAGCTCTGACCTCAGGAGACACCTGTAGTACTCAGCACAGAGATGGGGCGTTCTAGACTCTCACTCACTCATTCAGAATAATCAGTTAGGAACAGATGTGGGAACCAGACTGTCTGGTTTGTAGAGCAGCTCTGCCTCTTCCTAGCTCCATGACCTTGGACAAGCTCCTACCTCGGTTTCCTCATCCATAAAATGGGGATAACAGTAGACCCCACCTCACAGAAGTCTTAGGAGAAATCAAAGAGCTGTTATATTAGTGCTTGCCACAGAGTAAACGTCATGCACGTGTTTGTTTTCATTCATTCATTCATTCAGCCAAACCTCAAACCTTTGGGTCACTGGTGGCTGTGCCCAGTCCCTGTCCCCGGTATGGCACAGGACAAAGCACGAGCATAGAGGCCACAGGAGGGGCCTTTTGAAACCGCCCACTCTCTGACCACAGTCTTCTTTCCTTATAGCTCTATGCTCACATGTTCCTTTAAAACAATTCAAAAACTGTTGCAAAAATCAAAAATCAAAGCCTATTTCCCATCTGCTCATCCCTTTCCTTCTATTCTCACTTCTGCTTTCAACCAGCCTAGATTCTCTTGTCCATCCTTACATCCCTTCTTTGCAAAAATCCTGCCCTGCCCTGACACCTCTCCCTCCCGTGTGCTTTCTGGAAAGCTCTGTCCTGCAGGAGTCTGGCCTTCCTCCTTCCCTCAGGGAGGAGGGGAACACTACATGCTCTGCAGACAGGGTCAAAAGGAAACTAACAGGCCCAGCCATGCTTTGGTGCGGTTCCCAGTGAACTGTCTCTGAATCTCAGCCCAGATGGCCAGGACACACCCTTAATTCTGTCCTCCAACTTCCCACTCCTTTTCCATCCAGGTGGCCTCTGCATCCTCTCACCCTCAGAGGACTCCACACTTGTAATCCTTTTTCTTACACCACATACTGTCTCTCATGCTCACAGCATTATCTTCTTAGCATATCAACATGTTCTAGACTCTCTAATTTCAAAGAAAACAAATTTAAAAATTAAGGATCTATCCTTCCTTTTCAGGATGATGGTGTTCATTTGTGGCTGATGAGGGAAAGCACTTCTTTGTAGAAAAATGCCAGTTAGATGTGAGCACATGGTAAGAGGGTGGCTGCCTACAGGTGGAGAGAAGAGGCCTTAGGATGAACTCTGCCCTGCCAGCACCTTGATCCTGAACTTCGCAGTCTCCAGGACTGTAAGAAAATAAATTTCTGTTATTTAAGCAAAGAAAGAAAATGCAAGACACCAGCTGGTAACATAAAAGGAATGTGAGAAATAGAACAATTGTTTTGTAATCTCAATTAAATCATTGATTTAGGGCTGTAGGCATAGCTCAGTGGTAGAGTGTTTGCCTAGCGTGCAGGAGGCCCTGGTTTTAAGCTCTAATTCCTATAAATAAACAAAGATCATCGATGTGAAGAACTGTCAATGATGCTGTCATAGTCTTCTTGGGCTGCCATAACATAATACCACAGACTGGGGGGCTTAAATAACAGAAATGCGTTTTCCTACAGTTATGGAGGCCAGAAGTCCTAGATCAAGGCCCAGCAAGGTGGGTTTCTGGTATGGGCTCTCTTCCTGACTTGCAAATGGCCACCTTTTCACAATGTCCTCACATCACAGAGAGAAAGCCGGGGTGTGAGAGAGAGCTCTCTCTGGTATCTCTTCTTGTAAGTACATTCATCTATCAGGTCTTCATTTATCCTTTTTTAAAAAATATATTTTTGAGTTGTAGATGGAACAATGCCTTTATTTTAGTTGTTCATTTTTATGTGGTGCTAAGGATCCAACCCAGTGCTTCACACGTTAGGCAAGCACTTTACCACTGAGCCACAACTCCAGCCCGTCATTTATCCTTAATT